GTAAAGGTAGATCAGATATAACTCATCCCTTATAAGTCTCACTGAATTCAGCAGCATAACTGGAGAATGTTAAGACATTCAATGTTTTTAATGGAGATGAAATGACTCGATGTTATATAGAGAAAATACCAGTGTGTTAATCTTTTGTAAAAATGTGAAACCTGTAAGGTAATCAGTGACTTAGACCTAGATCTCTCTGAATTCTGACAAATAAAAGGAGTGGACAGTGAATAACCGGCATTAAAGATGTCTTAGTCGAAATGAGGATCAAACGAGATTCAGACAGGACTGCAGCGCCCAAGTCAGCAAATTAAAGAAGGAAAAGGCAGCAACAGCTTCAACTTCCAGACAAGAGAAGGCATAAGTATACTATGCTGATAGTGAGCAGCTTCCCCAAAATAGTTAAATCTGCCTGTCAGTGATGAAATAACGAAGAAAGTCTAGGAAGAGTTCTTCACCAATTGGAAGCTCCCAAGTCATAGCTATTTGAGTTGGCCTACAGTCATAGGTCTAGCATTTAGACCTGAAAGGGGAGTAAGACTAGGTAAGGTTTGTCTCTAACATTTTCCATGAATTAAAAAATAATTCCTCTGAACATGGTAAGAAAGATCTGTTTGACTTGCAGATTGTTGAAGAAACCTCTGTGACCAGAGGTGGATATCTTATTGGAAAACTTTTGCTTGGTAAGAATGTATGACACTGATGTTTCTTTTATTGTATTCTGAACTCTGAAAATTCGAGTTTTGGAGAAAACAACAAACTGGGTAAATGTGAAATATATTGAATATTTATTATTGTATTCGAATCAATGCGGGTGGGCATGTTAAATCATCTAATTGGATTTAGGTCTAAAATTCTACCATTCACAGTACTTCTGTTATAGAGGTGGGTAGATTAACAATTAGACCTTACTGGGGATAAATCTTAATTTAGGATTTTTAAGTTTTGGAGACTATATCTATGTGACCGGGTGGGGTGTGTGTGTCAGATATCCACTAATTAATGAGAAGTAACTTTTTTTAAAAAAAAAAAATCCTTTGTCTTCAGCTAAATTCATGACTCGTGAATGGCTCAAAAAATTATAGTAGTCTCCAGTAGGGTTCAGCATCTTCTTTACAGTAGGCATTGGTTATAATAGGCAATTTGCATGCAACAGCATGAATGGAATGGGAGGGAGGGTGAGGACTACTCTGCTGGAAATAACATTTTCAATATTTTGAGAAGATTTTTTTCCCTGATGAACCAACATACCTTTACATAGGAAAAATGGGTACTCCTTGAAACAAGCTTTATTACCCTGCTTACCTAGAACAAAAAGTTAACTAGCAGAATATGAAAAGCAATGGAACAAATCATTTTGTTTTACTTTTGGGAACTATTAAGAACAAAGGTTGGTTCTTTTTTGCTGTTTGCATGTTCCTGGCATATAGCTTCTTAATGCTGTTACCAAAATTTGTCAGGAAGCATTGTATTGTAGAGAGATAATTTCCTAGTGATTTTGGAAACAAAGGTGTATGATGCATTACAGATCGTTAAATATACCTAATTATGTACATCAGGCAAATAAGAAAAAAAAGCACATAACCTTTCATACAACCTGAAAATCCTGATTTTATTACTTGTATGATTTTTCAGTTAGAAAAGTAGCCAATAATAAAGTTAGCATTGCTGGATTCTTATTGGTAATGTTTCTAATTGCCAAATTGCAGGCAAGAAAATCAGTAACATTCTCACCTGGAGTACTTGATGTGCCCTCTAAATTAATTTTCAGGTAACAAATCTTTAAAATGAGTTATTGGGGGTTTTTAAGTTTTTAAAAACTCATTCTGTAAACCTTAATTGTAATCTAATACTGAAATTCATTTGCCTTTCTCTGTTATTACATATAAAAGAGTAGAATTGTGATTCCAGATAATCTGCATTTTTTGGCTTGTCAGCATCTCAGTTTAACTCATAAATTATGAATTTATGAGCATTTATAATTTCTGTACATATCTAGAATAGCATCAAATGTACAAATTGTTATGTTATAGTAAATAGGAACTGTGGCTAATTGCAACTGAATATTAGAGAATATTTATGGATTGTGTCTTGCTATTCTAGGACTATGAGTGGCAAAGAGCACCTATGCTCCCTTTTTGTCTTATGAAAACAGGGTTGAGGCTAAAATGGGTACAGTAATCTCAACAATCCCCAGCAAGATGGAAATGGGGTGAGTGCATGTGTTTCTCTGCCTCACATTTTACTAAAAGAGTATCTGAATCTTGTATGCGCTCAAGCGAAGTATTTTCCCAAACAAGATGGAGATCAACTGTGTTTGGTGTTGGGCTTTAGGTACATTATGGTATTAGAACAGTGCCAGCATTAGGGATCTTGTGGCCCTCAATCAACTAATAGCAAAGTTAAGATATTCATTAGGTTACCATTCTTAATGTGCTAAATTGTTTGCTTTTATCTTCTGCTCTGCAGGATGACTAATCCTGAAGAAACAATCGTCTGTTTCCATAAATTGAAATTTTTGATTCTTCAATGGAACATGCATACAACTGATAGCTATGAGAACAAAAATTGAAGCATGTAATAATCAAATGCTTATAATAAAACACAGTTAATCATGATAGTTGATGAATCTCAATTCTAGTACTGGACCATCATTTATTTCTGCATTAAGCAACCAAATTGCATGATTTCTTCTAAATTGTTATGACACAAATTTGAAATATTTGAAGCCACTTAGAGATGTTGGATTCACATTGCTCATTTAGTTCCACATGAAACAACTGGTTCTGTGCAAATGTTTGGCTCTAGCTTAAGGGATATTTCTCAGAGCTTAAGGACACCTGCTAGAACAATACTTCAGGGCATGCTTACATGAACAAGTACACACACAAGTAATTTCTGGCTGACGTGGATTAGTAATTTGTGTTTATATATGAGTGTCCCATGAATGAACTGAGAATGAAAAATACTAAGATTTGTATCATTACTGTTTTCCAATGTTCCTGTTTAATTCTGAAGAGTAATTTTACAATGGCATATTTGCAATTTCACTGTAAAACAGTAATCAGATGCTTTGTAGGCAAGGGAACCAAAACAGTACTTTTCCTTCCCTAAGTCTAAAAAGAATTAAGCATGAAATATAAAAAGCTGAAGACCCTGAACCACATCACTGAGTTCCTTAAAACTACAGTGAAAACCCATGAGGATTATAACCATTGAAGTGCTATTTCAAATAAGGTAATCTGTTTCTTTTACCACATAAAAGAGTGGTATCTTGTTCAATAAACTCTTCACAAAAATACTGCTAATTTTTCTTAATGGTAGAAATATAAAGCAGTACTAGTTTTAAGATGTAAAAAAAAAAATTAAATCAACCAAAAAATGGGAAAACGGGAACACTCATGAATGGGTTGATTTGAAGATACTGTATAACAATGAGAGGGAGGCCTTCAATGCTGTGGATCTCATTCTAAAGCCCTGTTCGGTTCCAGTTCAGTTGCAGAAGTCTGGAGCCTAAACCAGCAACATTGAACTTCGCTATGGAGCAACTTTCATCTTGATGCCATCTCCAATGCTAAAAATCAGAGTAATGTGGTCTCTCCAGTATTGATTAGAGATGAAATCCAAGTTCAAATCTTTCAAGCACAAAACCTGTTGGATGACCAATGATACCTATCCCCTTTACACTGGACTGAATTATAGAAAAACAATGGGGTGAGATCTATTCAGTACATCTGGCAAACGGATTTGAGGTGGTTGTTTTTTAATCTGATGCAATTCTAAACAGACTCTTGAAATAAGACTTGTTTTGGCTGCAATCCTAGAAGCTGATTATTCCCTCTAAACCCTTTGTGGTCCTGCCTATCTCCAACACCTGCTCAGCTGAAAGGGGATGTTTCAAGTTCCCACACAAAAGGATGTACAAGGAGGAAGGGTCTAGAAACAAACTGCTTAGCTTCCCCACAATCGGCCCCTCAAAATCAGAATGGCCCCAATCCTTATTAATATTGGGGGGGGGGATTAAAATGCTTGGAAAGAAAAGGGGGAAAGAAATTACCAGCAGCACGGATGAAGGAAAGTCACCATCCTAAGACCTGAAAAACTCAGCTAGGGGCAGATTGTCATGGAAATTATGTGGTCACTGAATCGACACCAACTTGATGGCACATACTAATTTAAGATACTTTTATGTAGACACATTGGGGATAAATGTTATATATTACACTAAAGTATTGTCCAATGTACTTTTCAAGAGACAACTGATCATTTCTTTAAAAGGGGGAGGGGGCGTTCCCTGAAAACTACTTCCTCCTATTGTTTTCTTCTGAAATATAGAATAAATGGCTGCAGTCTTAAACTTTAAATTGCAAACATGCTTAAAGGATTAGAACTGAATAACAACCCTATTAGTTATATAAAGTCCAACTTTGCATGAGTACTGGACTTAAATCTAATTGTTCAATTATTTGTCTAGTGCATCCAAGCTACAAAATTATGAATATGACCGAGGAGTTATTTAACAGAACAATGAAAGGGACATTGGAAGTCTCAGTCTAACCCTCTGCTCAAGCAGGAGACCCTATACCAGAGGTGTGAAACTCAAGGCCTGTGGGGGTGCTTAGATCTGGCCCACGGGGCCACCCTGGAAACAACAAAGGATTGCCCTGTGGTGATTCTGCCAGCAAAAATGGAGATTAGGAAGGCTGCGCATGGCCCTACCAGGCTGTTTTCAGCCATGGAGGCTCCCCGAGATCTGTTTTAGCTGGCAGAGGACTGAGGAGGCCGTTGCAGCCGAAAATGGAACCTCGAGGGATATCAAGATGGCCACACACCTTGCACTCCAAGGTCAAACAACCCTAATACAGTCCTTAATCAAGTCAAGTTGGCACCCCTGCCCTATACCATATCAGACAAGTGGCTGTCTAATCTCTTCTTAAAAACCTAAAATTTAGGATGCCAAAGATCCCCCACTCACCAATAAAGCTTGTCCAACTACCCAATCTGGCTTAAGAAACTTTTAATACATTTCAAGTCAAACATATGAAAATATAAGAGCTAGAAAAAAAGTGAGGATAATAAAAGCTTAAATTCACAAGCTGTGTTCTGCATCCAGTGAATCACTCCCCCTTTCAACCACATTCAGTCACATAGTTGTGCAGCTTTGGCTGACAAAAATCATAATACTTTATGTAACAATTTACTGTATTTACATAATTTAACCACTTTAAAAGTATAAAACTCTTTTATCATCTAAACAATCTTCCAATGATCAGGCTCTTAAAGCGCCATTAATTTTAATGAATGTTAAGCATGTGCTTAATGTTCCTACTCTAAGCTATTCTTCAAAGTGCTTGTCTTTGGTTGGGTTGTGTCCTGTTGCTGCATTTTGCATATCAGTTTACACTATATTCAAGCTGCTATATTAAAGTAAATACACCTGTAAACTAAAAAAAATCATTTGTATTTATAAAATGATGTACCTTAAGTCATAAAATAATTTTGTAAATATGTAGGATTAGCAGTTAAATCAAGTTTGGATGAAGCCATCTATAGAAATTATATATAAATAAGACATCTGGAAATATTTACAAAAAAACACAAAAACTACTGAAGTGGCTGTTATATAACAGGAAGAACTAGTGTATTGTGGAAGTATTACCCATGTGCATACATTTTCCTCTTACGCTAATGATTTAGTGCATTCGTACATTTGACTCTAAATAAACGTGTAGTCACTTGAGAAAGGACAACGTTGGGTTACATGATACTTATCAATAGAAAATAGCAATGTAAAAATATTCATAGAAAAAAAATTGTCTCCCTGATCCTCAGAACTTAGTCTCTAGCTTCTTGCTCTTAGGCACAAGGAAAATGCTCCCATCTCTGGTTTGCTGCAGTGAGTAATCATTCGGGGAGTATGGCTTGCCATCTTCATCCCGAAGCATGCTAAAGACTTCAAGATACAGGGTGCTCATCTCCTTTTTCAGCAGCTGCAGGCTTTTGTCATTCTCCACCTTCTCTTTCAGGAGCTTCTCTTTCTCCTCCTTCAGGTAATCCAAATCATGCTCCAACTCAGTAATGTTTTCCAGTTTCCTTTTACGGCAGTTCTGAGCAGCTACTTTGTTCTTGCCTCGCCTTCGTATGTCACGAATCAGACTGAGCTGAGCCTCGTTGAACTGCTGCTTGGACATCATTTCATTGAAGTCATCCACAGGGAGGTTGATGATTTTCTCAACAGGAAAAGGGATCTTCAGAGCTTTTGCTCTCAGCTCATCTCTAGTGAGATAAGCTTCTTGTTGGTTGAAGGGCTTATCTTTCATAAATGGAGCTTCAACGTGGCCAGGATTGGCAGGCAATTCTCTTTGAGGTGTACTAGTAAGTGACAAATCAGGCTTTGAAGTGCCTTGCTCCAGAGATGGAGAGGCAGGCGCCTGCGGGTGAAATGAATGAATCTTGGCATTGCTGAGTAACACAATTCCAGGGGCGCAATCAATCTCCTCCATTTCTGAATCACTGCATCCAAAGCCTGTATCCTGACAGACCGACGATGACTCAACAGAATGAGCTGGGGAGGTTATATTGGAACTTGCATTCAGTGAAATACCAGAGTCAGAATCATTATACTCTGAGGCATTTCCTACAAGGTCCTGGTTAAAAGCTTTGCACTGAGCAAAATCCGAAAGATCAATTGGTTCACTTAAAAAGCCAGCAATGGTCTGATCCACAAAATGAGATGGCGGGGTAGCCACTCTGGGGTCCATCTTCACATCGATTAAGGAATAGAAATCCTCACAGAAATCAGTGCTACGTTGACCAGAATCTTCTGGTATCCCCATGCTGGAATAGGAATTTTCCAAAGGTTTCAGGAAGTCTTCACTGCAGTTAAGAACTTCTTTCTCCATGGCAGATAATGAATTGTAGAGGGTAAAGTTATCGGCTACTTCTGAAGTGGTATTTATGGCAAATGGGTTTGATGTTACATCGGCAAGGCTGTCATTTTGTATATTAAGACACTGTAGAAAGAAAGGTTCAAAAAAATGTTCAGCAATAAAACTTACAGGACAATCTTGCGTATTTCCATTTAAGAGTTGTACTGGTCTGAAAGCCACACTAGAATTTTTAGTAGCATGCTTGCATGCAGCATAGCAACTAAGCTTTGGTTTAATTCAATTTAAATATAATTCACGAGATTCCTTTCCATCCATTTTAACATTTCTTCCCTTCTGTCACGTGAAAACTGACAACTAGGAGAGGCCTTCTGAGCAGGAGGATCTTCCTAACTCTGTTTTAACTATTAGCAGTTTCTGAGCAGGTGAAGCATCTCTGGAGCTAGGGAGGCAGTATTTACGGGTGCCACACACATACATGGACATTGTGGTTTTTACTGTCACCTTTTTACATACGATACTATGAGACTAGAAAACCTGATGAAACAAACATCATGCAGGAAAAATAAGGAGGGGAGAATAGCCTAATGGTGGGAAAGATTGAGGGCAAAAGAAGAAAGGGACGACAGAGAATAAGGTAGCNTCAAATAATTTTACAGTCTTAAGTTTATTTCTGTACTGCACAAAGCATCTACACCACCCTATACAAACTGGGCATAACTTATTTTTGTATGCCTTCAAGTCAATGTTGACTCCTGGCAACTGCCTAACTTCCATAAGAGTCCAAAAATGAGCATATAAACCCAAGTGTTTCAGCTTGTCTTCGCCTGGAGGATCAACTTCATGTGGGAATCTTCTGTTTTATAAAATTGCCACACAAAGAAAAGCCTCTCCTTTTGTATTTGTTACTTTTCTGAATGTCGCAACAAATATCTACAGCTTGGATAAAATAATGACTCTCAAAACTCCCAGGGCCCTATCACAAATTACTCAGGCAAGTTATTTGCCTTGTGCAGTTACAAGTACAAGCTTAAGAAGATGTGTTATTTCCCACAAAGTTGATTTTTGGTGACTTCATGGACACACATCTAAGTTGGGATTGGTAGCAATGCAGAAGTGGTTTTCAGTTTTTCCAATTTCCCCATCCAACATGCAAAGTTGTGGTGTAGGTTCTAATTTCTAGCAAGAGCAAAATTTTGAGCCACAGAAGTTTGCTCAAGAGTTGCTGGTACAAAAAGGACAACCTGTAAACAGCACTGGGTACTATTCCTGAATTGAGGCAGGCAGGAGCAACTACTGAGATCTTAAATTTCATTGAAAACTTTGACATGCCTCAGAAAAGGTGACCACTCTTGCTACACGTCAATCCAATATTGTAAACCATAACTATTCAGTAGCCAGGAACCATATTCACCTAAATACGTCATGGCTATTCTTTTACCCAGTTTTATCTCTGTGCATAAAATTAATACATTTAGTATTCTTGTGAAACAGCAAAGCTATATATTACAAATGTCTTATGAAATTGTAACTTATCTCTCATTTACCACCATACTTGGCTTCCCATGGAACAATTGAGAGTGACAATCTTTGTACTTAGAGGTAAGTAGATAATTAACACCACCATAGAACTGAAGGTCCAAGGCCAAGTCTTAAGAGACCAAATGCACAATGGGGTGGTGAGGGAGAAACACCAAGGTAATTTATTTACAAGTCTGTGTTTCCGTGTGTTTCTATGCTGGATGGAGAATTCTGGGAGTTGAAAGTCTACAAGTCTTAAAGTTGCCAAGTTCGGGGACCCCTGCTTTAAATTGTAAATTAGTGATAGACCAAATTCTCTTTTATAGATTGTAAAAGTATAGAATAACAGAGTTGAAAGGGACTTTGGAGGTCTTCTAGTCCAACCCCCTTGCTACATGTACGTCAGCCTTGTATTCAAGCTTTTTCCTATTTCATGATAATTTCACACACATGGTGTTCTGGATCCTCCAAATTAAATTCATTATAATTTAGTAAAGCATAATCATTCATATGGAAAACCTCCTTTAATCATGCACATACATAACTCAGGACAAAAAAAAGTCACCAGGATTTGGGCCACGAAAGGCCTTTTTTCCCCTGCTCTTTGAAGGACTTTGAAATTGCAAATTGTCTAAAGATATTTAGCCCAACCTGTGGGCTAAAATTTACTATAGCATTGCTTGTTCCCATACTTGAGAATACAGAAGATAGAAAACACTACCCTATTCTTTTAAAAAGACCTCAATCTAGGGAAATAAGAATGATGTAAAAAAAAATCCTTCTGTTCTTTCCTGAGCATCATATACCTACTTGCAGTCAGTCTGATTTTGGAAACATGGGATATATTCAGTTTTAGGCTTAATGCTATAGAAGTATTCTTTAAGCACAGGTTTAACAGTTGCATATTCCACATTGTATGCAAACATTTAAGAAACTTTTAAAAGAATCTCAGAATTTAAGGCAAAATATCTCAAGGCTTATGGGGAGGGTTTTTTTTAATGATGATTTCACTTATTTGTATGTTTGATGCTTGACAACTGGCATGAAATACACACAGACCCTTTAAGGGTTCAGAGGTTAGATTTGTTGTGATTTAAGAAAAGTTAATTTTTATTGGGTCACCTGTGTTTATAAAATATCTTTCCCAGGCAAGCAAGTAAGCAACACTTTCATCGCTTTGATGAGAAAGTACATACAGGTAGTCCTCGACTTATAAAGTTCATTTAGTGACTGTTCAAAGTTACAACAGCACTGAAAAAAAGTGACTTATGACCTTTTTTCAGTTACAACCTATGTAACATCCCCTGGTCATGTGATCAAAATTCAGATGCTCAGCAACTAGTTCATACTTATCACTGTTGTTCCGTTCCAAAGTCACACAATCACTTTTTACGACCTTCTGACAATCAAAATCAATGGGGAAAACCAGTCACTTAACAAGCGGGTTACTAATTTATCAACTGCAGTGATTCACTTAACTATGGCAAGAAAGGTCATACAATGGGGAAAAACTCACTTAAATATCTCAAAACAAAAAAAATGGGGTCAATTGTGGCCGTTAAGTCAAGAACGACCTATAATGCCATTTACTTCTCCAAGATTTAGTATCTGATGTTGCAGCATTTCTATGGCTGACTTAAAATTCTGTGGCTAGAAAAAAAGGGCGCAGATGACTTTTGCCAATTCCTCATCATCCTTCTTGGAAGTTTCCAAAATATTGAAAACAGCCTGCAGTAGAAAGTGGTAACATAAAGAATTTGGTGGCAACAGCAACAACAAACTTTTCTTCTGAGCTTCCTCTGATGAAGAAACTCTCATGGATCTCCATGAACAGAAGACACCCGGTGGAACCTGTGAATTTTTAAACTAAAATTTTAGAATATTTTGATTGAATTTTGAACTATGTTTTTGCTTTTTTATAAGGCTCATCTATACTGATTTTATTTTAGATTAGTTTATAAGAAATCATTTGGATAAACCTTTACTTCTCCTTATTTCTGACATTAGTGTTCCTCTTTGGGGAGACAACAGTTACATAACAGGACTTATGTCTGAGTAAACATGCAACGAGTTATAACAATTTAAAACTTATTTTACTGGGGGGGTGGGGAAAGCAGAGTATACTTTTTATTATGTTAAAACCATGTCAGTATTTGAAATAAATGTTTTGGATGTTTGTATATATACGGCAAAGCAGCACATCTATATTTCAAGTAAATTCTGACGTGAGAAAATACAACTTTAAATCCTTTTCTAGCCTTTGGGGTCTACAGACAATATATATCTGAATCCTGGCCCATTTCACAATGGCAAAATAAACTTCCATGTAGTATTTACAAAATGCTTACTTTTTCCTGTTTTATGGTAATTTCATGGATAGGATCCTCCAAATTAAACTCATTATAATTTAGTACATCACAATCATTCATATGGAAAAACAAAACAAAAAAGTTACCAGAATTTGGGCCACAAAAAACCTTTTTTTTTCTTTCTTTCCTTCTTTTTTCTTTCTTTCTCTTTCCCTGTTACTCTCTCTCTCCCTCTCCTTTCCCCTCTCCCCCCCTCCCTTTCTGCTCTTTGAAACACTTTGACATTGCAAATTGCCTAAAGATATTTAGCCCAAACCCTGTTTTTATCATCTTTTACCAGAAAGTTCCAGATTTTTTTGAGGTGGGGGGACAAAAAATCCCAGAGCTGAAAGTAGGAAGAGCTCCGCTAGATCTAGGCTAAGTTCCCCCAGCACATTGTCACAAGTTGGCTATCAGAAGCAACGTTCATTATGTAACACGGAAGAGGCGTTTACAATAAGACCTTCCCCGCTGTATTAACCCAGGAGTTAGAAAGGGCCAGCGATGGAGGAGAAGGGTAGCCATCGGTAGCCCAGCCTTCCACGAGCGAGCCTACAGTCACCACACAACCAGCCGAGAATTGATGTCCATCATCACAATACGGAAGACGCCGCATTTCTATAAGTTGTGTAAACACTCAAAACGAACTCTTGCTTTGCGCCAAGCTTCCTGGAACCGCAGCCAACCTTGTCCTCAACCTTCACCTCTGCAGTTCTTTGGAAGCGGAGCGAGTGGGTGTCTTGCAAGCGGCACACTACACCTTAAGCATCCCAATTGCAGGTATCGCTACAAACGAAGGACTGGAGATGGGACAAACACGTATCAAAATAACTTCCCGTCGGGGACCCGCTGCTTCATCCGCAGAAGCTGTGTGGGTGCTTCATCCCCTGCAGGTTTTTTAAGAAGAGACCCGACGGCCCCTTGTACTTATACACAGGGTCTCCTGCTTTGAGCAGGGGGCTGGACTAGAAGACCTCTAAGGTCCCTTCCAGCTCTATTTTATTCTACAGTCACCATCCCCCTCTACGCAGTCCCAAGCCTTTCCCACTCCTTCAACTCCCTCCCCCACCTCCCTATCTCGCCGACCAGACCGGCAGAGGCGCCGATGAGTCAGCGCGGTGCAACGTGATTGTTACATCACGAGAGGAGGGCGGGTCCTAGGCTGAAGCCAGAGAGTCCGGCGTTAGTTGCCTGAGGGCGGCCGGGGGGGGGGAGAGAAAGAGTGGGCGGAACCTCTTCTGCTTAACGCGACCCAGT